CCTGAACTCCAACCCCCCCGCCCCAGCCCAGAGCCCGCACCCAATCTCCCTCCCAGAGTCTGCACCCCAAACCCCCTCCTGCACAATCTTCCTCCCAGAGCCCACACCCCCTCCTGCACCCCAACCCCCTGCCCCAGCCCATAGCCCACAGCCAGCACCCAAACTCCCTCCCACACCCAATCTCCCTCCCAGAGTCTGCACCCCAAACCCCCTCCCACACCCAAACTCCCTCCCAGAGCCTTAGGCAGGTGGGGGGGGGAGGCGAGACTTGGAGCCATTCTGGGCACCACCAAAAATTATACAAACCTCCCGCTTCTGTCCAGAGGGGCCAGAAAAGCAGGCCAGGGAGCAGGTCAGAGCTGGGAGCAGAGTCACAGAAGCAGCCCGCAGAGCAGACCTGTGCTGGGAGTAGAGCTGCAGCAACCAGCGCCAGAGGGGCCAGAGATGCAGCCCAGAGAGCTGGAGGTAGAGCAGCAGCAGCAGCCGTGCTGAGGCAGAGTGCAGTTGGAGCTGAGGCTAGAGCAGTCCGGAGCTGGGTGCAGTGAGCAGCTGGGGAGAGCGAGGGGGACCTGGGCAGTGGGCCCAGCACAGGGAGATGCCTGCAGCCAAGAGGCTTTGCAGGCCAGACTTGGAGGGGGATCATAACCTTGATGGGGCGGAGGCGACACTGGGAAGAAGGGTCCTGCCACCTAGAGCCTGAGGGCGTGTGGCTACCGCCAGAGCAAGTGTCTGACCCACAGCATCCCTGCAGCACAACCAGGGCCTGAGAAGGAGGCCTGGGACATGTAAGGAACAGACTGAACTTCACTTACATTCCAGAGATGCTGGTTGTGATGCCCCTGTGCCAGAGAGCGGGGTGACGGGTTTTCCTTTAACCTTTCCTGTTTTTTCCTTATTTTTTTTTAATTGATTGCTGTTTAATAAATTGTATTTGCTTTGAACTGTATGTAATGATCAGTGGGTCAATCATCCAGTGCAGAGAGAGCACCCCAGAGTGGGGGCGCCCTAGGCCCTGCCCTAAGTGACCATGACAAGGTTGGGGGTCGAGCCCCCCAGGAATCCTGGGCGCGCCTTGTTGGGGTTACCAAGACTCAGCAACACAGGAGAGTGGAAGGGGAGCCCTTGAGGTCAGGCAGGCCTGTGGGTAAAAGAAGTGGGAGCGAGGACTCAGATCCTTTCACTAGCCCACTTCACTGGGGTAGTGTATAAGAGTGGGGGCAAATTAAGGTTGCACGGGCAATCTTATGTCTGGCATTTTCTAATTTATGAGTGCCTGGCTTTGCAACCTCAATGTTCTTATAATGTAAGAATGTTAAATGTTGCCTAATACACATTTGCTGCTTTCAGCCATTTCAACCTCTTAAGCTGGATCTCTTGCTGATACTAACTTCTGCTCTGGTTATCTCTTCTGTAATTCATGCTCCCATAGCTTCTCTTCAGGGAATACACAAAGGGAAGTTTGTTTGGGAGTTGATAGATTCATAAACTACTCCATGCATGATTAACAGCCCTTCTGAGCTCCTTTTGAAAATGAGAGCCACCTAGTGGATACAAGCCTGAATGACAGACAAAGCTAACAGGTCTAAAGTCACCCCATTCTTCAGAAGTGATACTATAAACTGCCATTGCACAGGGAGGAAGGTGAAACTGTTTAAGCATTACAATGAATGATTATTAATTATTACATCGATCGCTGTAGTGCCCAAAGACCCCAATCAAGATTGTGGCTTTGTACAAATACAAAGGTTAATTAAAGTGGTTATATTTTCAAAATAAAATACTGGGTGTTTTTACAACATCATATTTTAGGGTTATGAAATATTTCTACAACAGGCAAAAGTGCATGATTTTGCTTTAAATATGTGCTGGTCTTGCTACTGCCTGTTCTGATTTAACAGCAAATATGACAAATGTGGACATATTTGTCTGAGTGAAGGATTTTTTCCAGTGTCTGAATAAGTTTATCATGAAACACTGAACAAGTGCCATTAACATTTATTCTGAGAAAATGAACAGTTCTGATACCGTATACGCCTGTTTGACTTTTTTTTTCACTTGAATCAGTGTTCAGCTGGAATGACTATTCCTCATATGCTCAGAGCAAATTCCATTCAGTTCTGTAGGGTGTCTGGAACTTACATCTTGCAATTATAAGAAAATAATAATGAATGTTTTGGCTGATGAAATGAAAATCTGGGACATGTCAGGCACCGTGAAAAATTCATCAAATGAAAAAATATGACGGTCCTAGTAAAGTCAGGATGTATACTGTGTATGAGAGGTAACCCTTCCATTGAAAATATAGGTGATCAAGAATGTCATCCACATATTCCAAAATCTGCATGCAAATGGTGGTCCCTTGTGAGCACATTGATTCAATTTGTGTGCAGTCCCAGTAATTGCACATGCAAATAAGATGAGTAATTGCACATTCAATCAGCACTAACCAAGTCCAACCCTGCTTAGCTTGAGAGATGTGATTTGATACCCAAAGTAGAATCGCTGCAGGCCATTTATGAAAACCTGATATTGCTTGTTGATGAGGACCATCCATAATCAAATCTGTTTTGTAATTTTTCTACTGTAATTGAATTGGGATTTGAGAACAATAGGCCAGTTAAAATATTTTTCTTAACCCATGTCATAACTATAAAGGGAAGGGTAACAGCCCTCCTGTGTACCATACTATAATCCCT